GGAGCGAGACAGTGACCGCCACCGCGCCAGGCGGCGTTCAGAGAGCGAGGAGCAGCGACGGCGGCGGCACGGGACGGGCAGAGGACGGTCGGGTAGCAAGGAGGTGGCGAAGAAGGGCAGAGGGCGCAGGCGTTCACGATCCCGGGCGTCGTCGTCCTCCTCCTCCTCTAGCGTGTCGCGAAGAGCCGATGCTGGCCGGCGACGCTTTGAGGCAGTAGATGTGCGGGAGCTGCTACAGCCTGAGATGCCGGCAAACGCCGGGGGAATGGTGCCGCAGTTGCCTGCCGAGATGATCATGGCGCTCATTCAACAGCAACAGCAACAGCAACAGCAACAGCAGATGCTGATTTCGCAGCAGGACACATTGACGGCTGCGAGGGACGCCATGCTTTCTACACCGGATCCCACAGCTGTACCGGAGCCAGCGCCGGTGGCAGCACCCCCAGCCAACGGTGACACCACCAACGAAGCTCAGCAGCAGCAGCAGCAGCCTCAAGAAGAAGGAGAAAAAGTCGAAGTGGGGGAGGCGAACGAGCAGCCTATCGCCAAGCCCGCAGTTCCAGCGAGGGTGTTACCGTCTGTGGCGGACTTTGTGCCGGTTATTCCAAAGAGCTTATTGAGCCTTCTCAGCGCTCCGGGGACCGCCACTAGTGACGGTGGTGGTCAAGGTGGTGGCGGTGCGCCGGGAACAGGCGGCGGTGGCGATGCCGACGATGGGCAACAAGGGACACTGACGACGACTGCAGGGGCCCTGGCGGTTCTTCAGGCGCCGAAGCTTTCACCAGAGGCAGAGCGACGTGCTCGAGAGGCACGTCGGGCACACATCTCTTGTTTTCCTCAACGCACCTCCCGACAGGAGTTGCTGGACTACTTTACCACCATTATTCCTATGGTGCGTCGTGTGAAGGTGCAGAGGGAGATGGATCAGTTTACTGAGAAATTGCGCGAGGAGGGAGGTCCGGAGGCGGATATTGAGCGACGTGAAATCCCACCAGACGCCATCGTGGACGTGGATCGCGTAATTGACATTGCGGTAAACAGTGCCAAGTCGAAACCGTTTGCCTTTCTCGAGGTCAACCTGGCGGATCTCGTGACGGAGTTGGTGGAGGAGTCGCAGCGTGATCCAGACCGGTTTACTTTCATTGCGGCCGACGGACAGTCGTACCCCATCACAATTCGTCGCCCACGCGACTACCAGGCCTTGCCGGGTGTCGACAACCGCAAGGTTGTCATGCTTGGGTTCCCATCCACCCTTTCAATGCCCAAGTTGCGACTGGTTTTCGAGAACTTTGGACCGCTTCTTGCGTTTGACGTTAAGGCAGGAATAGCCTACGGTGAATTTGAAAAGGAGTCGGATGCTGTCGACTTCGTTGGCGAGCTTCACGGCCAAACGCTGGGAAACAGAGTGGTGGTGCTGATGCCCTTGTTCGACTGGTTGAAGGTGGTCTGCACGCACGCCGACATCGATGTCGCACTTGACCCGGATGACCCCGTCTCGGGTGCGTCCCTCTTGGCCAAGGATGGCCAGATAGCCGGCGCACTGGTGCCAGTGCTCGCCGAGGACTTGGAAAAGACGGAGGAACCGGTGAACCACATGAAGGAATTGGTGGAATTCGCCGTGCAGTTGCCGGACGTCGTGCTGCACTTTGCCAAGACGTTTCCGCACCTTGCAACGCTGTACGGAAGCACCGTTCCTATTTTTCCCACTCGTGTGTTAGTGCTGCTGAACTTGTTCGATGAGGAGGAGCTTGTGCTGGACGACACGTATGAGCGACTTGTGGAGGAAATCGCCGGCGAGGTGGAGAAGTACGGTCGCGTGAAGACGCTCATCGTCCCGCGTCGTGCCCCGCCACCGATCCCACCCAGGCCGCCGAAGAATTACTTTGGATCCCGCATGAAAGGAACGAAAAAGGGTGGCGCCGGGGGTGGCCGCGACCGTCGCCACCAACTCACTCAGGGCTCTGGTGGGACGCCATCAGCGGCGTCCAACGCCCCCCGTGACGGTGCCCCACCGGCTACGGCAGAAAATGAGGAGGGTGATGCAAGCGGCAAGAACGATTTCGACAAGGACGACCTCGATGAGGAGGCGCAGTACGAGCAGGCCAAAGTAGAGTACCTTAGAGCACGCGAGGAGTACACTGAAAGACTTATGCACCCCATTCACGGCGGGTTCGGTCGTGTATTTGTTGAATATGAATCTGTTGATGAGGCAGCAGAGGCACAACGCGCGATTGCCGGTCGTCTGTTTGGTGGTCGCACAGTTGTGACGTCATTTATGTACGAAGACGTGTTGCACCCGCCAACCGCGGAGGAGATGGAGGAGGCGGCGGACAGGAAGCTGCAGCTGTACCTGGAGTCTATGGGCGCTGGCGATGACGACGAAGAGGCGCAAACGGAAAAGGTGGAAGCGGACAATGACACACCGGGAGACACGGGAGCCGCGCAGGCGGGAAATGACGTGGATGGGGCGGAGGCGACGAGCTAACTCGCGTGATACCGCAGCATCGGGACTTGTTTTTGTTTTTGTTCATTGTCGTTGTTGTTGTTTTCTTCCCTTCGTGTGTGTGTGTGTGTTGCGCGTCGTATTTGGTATAAGCCACACACTAACACACACACACGAAGGGAAGAAAGAAAAAAAAGAAGCGAGGCGCCGACAACCGAGAGATAACAGGCAGAGGGTGAGGCTGTGTGTGAGTCGCCCCCCTCGTAGGACCATAGGCATCACAGGGCGCACGTTAAAGAATTGAAGTGAGGTTGGCGGAGCTGGCTTGTGGCATGAGAAACAGGCAAAGTAGAACGCAGGAAATTCAAAAATATACATACAGGAGAAAAAGGATCAGAAGTGTGAGAAGCCGTCAAATATATATATTTTCCTCTCCTCTTTGTAATTCCTTTGTGTTTTTGTATTTGTCTGTGTCTCTCTGCGTGCCTTTGTCGGAGGGCCGGGAGGGGCAACAAGGCACTCCGTTGACGCACCTTAAGTGCATGCTCTGATGCTCGATCCCGTCATGGTGCATGCCCTACTTCCCAACGTAGATGTCGCTCTTAGGCGTGAGGCTTCTTCTTTAGCTTCGCCCCTGCGTTGCTCTGGCTGGCCCTCTATTCCTGTGTTCCCCCTGTTTCTTTCTGAAGGCTATTTGACCCTGCAGCTGTTGCAGCACACCCCCACCCGATCCTCCACACACACCTCTGCGGAAAGAACAAGTAAAGAGGGGACATAATAGCGAAGGGGAAGGAACGCAAAAAGATGATGTTCGCCTCTTGCCAGCTTTGGCGCTTCCGGCGCTCTGTGGTGCTGCCGTTGATGCGGGCGAACCGTGGTGTGTTGGCCGCGGCGGCCATTAAGGACAGTAACCAACAGCCCACCAATGCTGCGGGAGACGGTGGTAAGGACGAGGATGGGACACTGCTGCGCCCTAGCGCCGGAGAGGCGTCTCGAAGGGTCCGATCGAGACGGCGGGATGCACGCAGCAGAAAGGGAGGGGAGCCCAAAAATTCGGTACCCTGCCCCTTACACGACGGTGGTAAGGAGAGCCCGGCGGCTATGCGTTTGTCTCCGACGCTAGCTGCCGGAGCGGTGGACCCGGCGCCAACGCCTGTGGCATACTCTGAAGAAGCTTCCTCCGTGGCTCTTTCGCTTCAGGCTCATCGTCGGCTTGCCGCGGAGACGGAGCGCCATCGTGTGCAAGCCAGCGAGTCGGTTGCTTCAGGTGCCGTCCACGCAGCCCATGAGAGGATTGAGCGTCGGCGGAAAAAGTGGTCTCTCACAGAGGTGGAGTTTGATGTTGGTATCACAGAGCGTCTGTTTCCCGAAATACGCCGCTTGCCGGCGCTGCACGAGCTGCATTACGGCGATGCCTTGATGCGGGAGGTGGACGCGGTGTCGTACTTCGCCGCCAAGCAGGGCGCAGACGGCAGCGAGAAGTCGGAGATGGATGACAAGGTGGCCGAGGTGCCTCTCACGGACGCAGACTTTTTGGCGTTTGCGGAGCAGGAACTGCAGCAGCAACCAACGCCCGCTGCCGCTTCGGCGTCCTCCGCGTTGTTGCCAGCTTTGGGGGGAAGGACTGGAGACCTTCCTCCCGCGGAGGAAGAGCAACAGGGGCGGCTGTCGCAGGAATCATCGTCCGGTGCTCTGGCGAGTGAAGACCGTGTCGTGGTGCACGGGATTCAAACACCGTGGTTTGTCCCAGACGGTGGAGTGGTGCGGCTTGAACCACTCCCATCCTCGGATGCGCTGTGTCTCTTGCGCTTTGTTTTGCATCTCCGTCAGCAGACGCCCCAGCATCTCCCACTCGCTGTTCAGAAACGGATGAAAAAGGCGGAGGCCCTACAAACCGCGCCAGTAAACGATAAAAAATATATTGAAAAGCCTCTCTCTTTGGAGGATGTCATGGTATACCTCGACACAGCGCCTCCGCCTATTCTTGGATTCACAGAAAATCTTCCACCCACCAAAAGCCCAGCTTTTGTCTTTGTTCTTTATACAGAGAACGTCTCGCTGCAGAACGCTGTAGGGCACATGGCAGCACTTTTCAATATTCCGCAACGTGCATTTCATACATGTACTGCGGTGTCGAAAATGTCATGTGGGGCTGTTCTTTGCGCGGTGAGTCCCAACCAGGTGGAGCGTGAGCATTTGCTGTTGCTCAACACGATGCGGCATCCGGGATTTGTGTTGCGTCTTGGATCGATTCGTGCTGTCGAGGATGAGACGGCTTCTGCGACTCTCTTCAGCGAGTTGTCGCGCTGGCAACCATTGAATGAGGTGGAACTCCTACTGCGTCGGGTGAGCTGTGGTGGCCGTCAGGAGCTTGAGCACCGGCTAAGAGCTGTGCAGGAGGTGGGCGCGGTGTTTTTCTGCGCCAATCGAGAAGCGTCCTTAGTACGCGCCGCCACGGATGTGCTCCATGGATTTTTCAAGTCGGCGCTTCTAAACGCCCTTCACCGGCGAAATGCTCCAATGGCGGTGCGTCATTTCTTGGCGCGGCCCAACCTCATCACTGCGGCACGGGCAAGACGAGCCTCCACCGACGCCACGGTGCGTCAAGTACTCAAGAACTACATACTTGTTGGAGGGGACTGGCAAAAGACGGTTGCACGCACACCGTATGTCTGGCGGCGGCGCTGGTTGAATGCACTCCGGTGTTCTGTGTGGAACATGATGGCGTCGCGGCGTCTGCGTTGCGGTGGGCGTCGTGTGCTGCCTGGTGATGTCGTGCTGCGTCCAGACTATCGCGCCGATGCCCACCGTCGCATGCTTACAACAGTAAAGGCAGAGCATGTCATGCTGGTGGCTGACGAGGCCGCGGCGGCGCAGTGTAGCGTGGAGGATGTCTTTATTCCGTTTCTTCGTGGTGTGTACCCTCCTGAGTTTTTCGCGCCTGAAGCCACGCAGCACCCAATTATGACGCAGGCCAGCATGTTGGCGCTCCTCCGTGAGGCACACGCCCCACAGCTGCTGCTTGGGATGAGCGACGCCTGCCGTTTATTGCTTGATATTCGCAGTGAGTCCTCTCCGTTGTTGTTCCGCCGCCTTATTATTCGCCCCATTGAGATGAGCTTCAGTATTCTTGAGGATAAGCCTCCAATGAAATCCATTCACTTTGACGCTGCTCGGATGCTTGAAAGTGACCGGCTGCGCCTGCAGCGTCCGTCGCTGCCTGGGATATCGAGAGAAGAAAAAGCCCTGCAGTCCTCAGCTGGCGTCGCCAATCAACTTACCTTGCGCCCATCTCTTCTGCCTCAGTCCCTAGTGCTGGAGCGCAGCACCATTGGGGCACGATTGGCTTCAGGTTTACTTGCCGAGGAATTTTTCGCTCCGCCAGCACGTGACGAGTACGTGGTTCTTGGGCACGTGGAGCGGCACTTGAGCGGCAACCTTGTCCTTGCCGCTCCGCGCGCCGACGACGAGGCGCTAAAAACCATTGACCGTCTTTTCACGATCCACGTGCATGCAGTGGTACGAAACGGATTAGCCGCAGTGGGGCACCTGCTGCGTGAGTACTTCATTCTTGCCGGGGTGGAGCGTGAGGAGGATAGTGCCCTGCAGCACAAGATTCACCGCGTGCGTCGAGAGCTGGACAGCGAGACACCGCGGCTGACTAGTCCCACATTTTGTCAGGCGTGCTACTGCCGCGATCACGACGCGTTGGAGTCTTGCGCCGAGTATCAAATTAAGCGAAGCAAACATGAGAGTGTGAAGAGGCGTGCGGAGGTCCTGCAGGAGTTGGCAAATGCCGACACGTCGGCATTGATGCCACCTGCTGCTACGAACGGAATTGAGCTAACTGAGAATGCGGTGGCGCCTGTCGAGCAGACGGAGACTGAAGTGGTCCTGGAGCTGGAGCTGCGGCTGCGTCGTCGGTCGGAGGAACAAAAGTGGGGAATTTACCTCACTGCTGCTCTCCAGCTTTCTGACATTGAAGACGTGAGTGTGCTGTCGGAGGGACGAATCCGCTGCGTCGCTGCAGCGGCCCTCCAAACGGCTTCCCAAAAGGACTTTTGGGAGACATTCTTGCGGCAGCAGCAGGAGAATGGCGGTGCAACAAGCCAAGGCGATGAGGCAGGCTCGCAATGGGTGGCCCTCTCACACTTTATTCTCAAGGCCACGGGCGCGACGGGGAGTTTGTTGCGCGCCGGCGATGATGGCCCTTCCCTGCCGAATACAAATGCAAGTGAGGGCTTGCCACTTCCTCAGCTCCGCGACGCCTTCCCACCTCCAAGGCCCCGGCTGCCTGATGGGGATGTTGGTACTGGGCCCACCTCGATGGCTGAAGCTGTGAAGTCCCGCAAGTTACTTCGGCAGTGCAAGTGGGTCTTGACCAGCATCAACGATACGACGGTGACCGGGCGTCGTCAGGTGGCTGCCGTGTTTGTGCGACTCGGTAAAGCGCGGGAGGTGACGCTTAGGCTTAGTGCCACTCTTCAAGGGTGTAGTGGACTCTGCCCGCCTTGTCGCAACGCCGCTGAAACGCTTCCACCGACCATTGAGCTTACGCTCATGAGGGCGGGTACAGACGAAGGGGGATGGGGCTTGAAATTTGATTGTGATTCCCTCACGCTGCTGAATCTCGCGCAGTTGCTTCATGCGCATGGGTCGTCTGGGGTTACGGCGCTCGTTGAGCCACCGTTCCTAACGACTCTTGCTGGAGCCGCGACGGTGGATGGCAAATACGCGTTAAGCCGTGTCAACGGCGAGGAGGTGGGCACGCAACGCGATGTATTGGAACGCCTGCGCAGAATAAAAGGCCGTGGAAAGGAAAAGAAATTGTGGCTGCAGCTTGTCTTGCGTTCTCAAGGAAGCAAGGGAGAGGACACGAGACAGCCGGCAAGTGAGGCGGCAGCGGTGATGAGTTGTCCTCCCGCAGTGGGAATTGTGGAGGGAGGAAGCGGCGAGCACAGTGGCGTCTCGTCTTTGGAAGGCGGAGCGGACGAGGCTGATGGAGAAGACAAGGGCGAAGCGGCTGCTGCGGCGGCAGCGGATTCACCGCCGTGTAGTCCGCAGTGCACGCCGCTGACACCGGAGCAGCGCAAACGTAGCGTTGTCACTATTGTCGTCAACCGCCGAGCTGATGCTCCGCCGGGGCGATGGGGAATTCGAGTCCGGCGCGGGACGCTGCGACTGCAGCGTCTTCAAAGCAATCATGCGTTTTCCTTTCAGGTCTACGCAGCGAAGCGTCAGCAGGCTGTGCGTGTCGCAGACACGCTAAGGTTTAATAACGCACGACAGCAGGACGGCAAACAAGGTGATGCGGCAACAGGGGTGGCGCTGGTGACGACTGCAACTGAGGTGGCGTTCTACTCCCACTTTGTGTACCTCATTGTTGGCGTCAACCACCGCCAGGTTGCATCTTGTGAGGAGTTGCGTGCGTCACTTGCAGCGGCGGCTTCTTCTGCAGATGAATCCGTTGTGCTTCAGGTGCAACAGTACCGCCTGGCTCAAATAGCTGTTCACATTCTGCGTGGCGACGGCGACGGAGAAGCGGCCCTTGAATCGGTTGGGTTTCGAATTTCACGTGAGATGGTGATTGAGTCGGTGGAGGCAGGAGGCCCAATGGCGCGTGCAATCCTGGCCGCCACACATGACGGGTGTTCGCTGCGGCGTCTCATCAACAGCAGCTGCCCTCCCACCGCCACCGGCGACGGCGCGACGGAGGGGTGTGGCGTGGCAAAACCATCCGCTCCTCCCTCTTCCGTGTCGACCGGTACACGATGTAAGTTTGACCTTGACGAGGACGCGCCAGAGCAGGCGGGTGGCCCCTCGACGTCGGTGGCAGTGGCGGCGACGGCGCGGACTACTGGGGCTCCCTGCAGCAGCGCACCGCCTGCGTACTGGAACATGGTGGACGGCGTCGCCCTGATGTCGCTCTGCGGGGAGGGCGATGCGACGCGATTTGTGTGGCGCGTCTCCTATGGGGTGCGGGCGGGACCATTGCGGACGCCGCAGGATTTGGCGCGGGCCCTCGCAGCGGACGTGAGGGAGGAGACACTCTTTTTGCAGCAGTGTTTGCTTGACGATTGAGGCGGAGGGCTAACACGCATCTGCATCCAAAGCAACACACACACACACACAGCAACGCGCGGAAATAAAGAGGAAAGAAACACGGCGAAGAGGCCGTTTCAGTGAAAGCAAAGAACCGTCTCTGCCGTTTGCAATGACCGCCGTGGAAGTTCTATTTTTATTTTTATTTTTGACCCTTTTTGTCTCGCTCTTTTTTGCTGTTTTTTTTGTTGTTGGTGTTGTTGTTGTTCTCGCTTTTCCCTCTTGACGCTGCGGAGGGTAATTACTTTCACTGAATCGTGAAGCAAACGCATTCGTCTTTGTACTGGTTTGACCTATGCCTCTAACGCTGCTGGCGATTTGCAATGGGTCTCGCATTAGCCGATGATGCCACGTGGGCAGTGTCCTCGACAAGGCAAAAGGAGGATAATTTGCCGCCGCCCAACTGAACGGATGGAGTGGAGTAGTGGGTGGAGGGAAAATCAATAATTCACATGGAAGTCTGCGACGCCGGAGCGTGTCTGCAACTTTCTCTTTTTTTTTTTTCTTATAATGTGCGTTTCATTCCTTCGTTTTACCTTGCCAGAATTATTGATTACTTGCCGCTTCTTCTTCTCCTCCTCCTCCTCCTCCTATTTCGCACGCCGCCTTTCCTAGTAGGGTAGCAACTTGTTATAGGCACAGCTGCAATTCCTTTTTCCTCTTCCCTTCCTCTTGACGGTTTTTCCTTTTTTTTCTTTGCGTTACGTCTTGGCGCTGAACCGAACCGAGCACCCTGAGCCGAGGCACAGATGCAGCAGCAGTTGGGGTACCACGCAAACCCCGAGAGGGAGGAGCTGCGGCAGGAAGTCATCAAGAAAACGGCACTCCGCAACGTTGCACAGGAGCGTCTACGGGGGATTTTGCAGGAAGTCAAGGCGCAACAGGAGGAGCTGGAACACGTGCAAGATCAAATCAGTGCCCTGTTGAGCATTGGCCAGTATGTGGGCGAGATCCTTCGACAGGTAGATGAGGAACGTTACATTGTACAGAGCATCTCCGGCGCGCGTCATCTGGTTGGGTACAAAAAAAGTATCAAACCAGAGAAGCTGAAATTTGGCGCCCGCGTGGCTTTAGAGATCACCACCCTGACCATTGTCAAGGTGCTGCCGCGTGCAGTCGACCCTCAGGTCTACAACATGCAAATTATGGGAGAGGAGAAAAATGTTTCTTTTCAAGAAATTGGAGGATTGCAGGAGCAAATGCGTCAGATGCGCGAGGTGGTGGAGTTGCCCCTGACAAACCCGGAGCTCTTTTTGCGTGTGGGTATCACGCCTCCAAAAGGTGTCTTGCTTTACGGACCTCCTGGAACCGGTAAGACGCTCCTTGCAAAGGCGATTGCGTCAAACGTGGATGCATCCTTTTTGAAGGTTGTGGCCTCCTCCATTGTGGATAAATACATTGGTGAATCTGCCCGTGTTGTGCGTGAAATGTTTGCCTACGCACGAGAGCACGAGCCCTGCATCATCTTTATCGATGAGGTAGATGCGATTGGTGGGAAGCGCATCGATGGTACTTCTTCTGACCGGGAAATTCAACGCACCCTGATGGAGCTGCTGCACCAGTTGGACGGCTTTGAGATGCTTGGCAAGGTAAAGGTGATTATGGCAACGAACCGCCCCGACACCCTGGATTCGGCGCTCATGCGACCTGGACGTCTTGACCGCAAAATTGAAATCGGCCTACCGAATGAGGCAGGCCGACTGGATGTACTGAAGATTCACGCGTCGAAGCTCACAAAGCAGGGTGACATTGACTACGATTCTCTCGTGAAACTCTCAGAGGGATTCAACGGGGCTGACTTACGCAACGTGTGCACCGAGGCTGGGATGTTTGCGCTCCGCGCAGGTAGGGATTATGTGATCGATGAGGACTTCAACAAGGCGACGCGGAAGGTCGCTGAGGCAAAGAAGCTTGAGGGTGCCCCGCATCAATACGCCGATCAGTAGGCCACAGAGCGAGCGAGAGAGAGTGACGGACGAGAAGGCGTGCGATATGAGAGACAACGCTATAAGTGGAGGGTGGAGAGAGCGAGAGAACGAGAGAGTACGTAAGGATGAAAGGACAAAAAAATTGCACACGTGCTACCGGTGGGGCAGGGGGGAAGGGATCCGAGAGTATTACTATTATTCTTGTGTGCGTGTGTTTGTGCTTTTGTATCTTTTTTTCCCTTTTGGACTTTCTTTTCCATGCAGTTTGTGCTGCTGCTTCTTCCTTTTTATTGATGTTGAGCGTTCAATATATATATATATATATATATTCTCTGCGTTTAACCATCTCCGCTGCTCCGTCCTGGTCCACGCTGCCATTGTTTCTCCTGCTTGTGTGATGTTATTTTCCTCCTTTTTGCTTGTTTTTTTTCTTTTCTTTTTTGTAATGTCATTCTTATTTCTGAGCAACCCTTCCTCTTCTCTTTCCTTTGTCCTTTCTTGTTGTTGTTGTTGTTGTTTTTTTACCCTGGGGCTTCTGCTCGGTGTTTGCGGTGCCACTTTTCCAGCCAATAGGGACCTGCGTGGGGTGGGATGAGGGGTGGTGCCAGCCTCTTCTTCGCTGTCGTTGCCTGCAGCCTCTTGTTGTGCCCCCCCGTGGCGACGCTAGACGCTTTTACTCAGCGCGAGTTTGAGTTTGAGCTGTGGCCAATGCCGAGGTTTTCCGATGGTTCCGTAAGGTGTGGTCTGCAGAAGCAGTGGTTCATTCTGAACGAGGATAATCGACCATTTTCTATGACTCGTGAAGGAGAAATCAAACTGGAGGTGCGCACTCTCTCCTTTGACGTGAACGCGCTCGGAGCATACGCTAATCGTCTTATGTACGCGAGGAAACTAGGCGAGGCCTCTCCAGAAACTACTTGCCTATTATTCACTCAGCCCCGCATTTTTCGTGTGATGCAGCAAATTACCGTCGCCTCCGCCGTTGGTGCCGTCCCCCTCGCCGCTGATTTCGGCATGGTGCCAGAGTATTTTTTGGATGATGCCTTCATGGCGATGGATACCGTTTTGGTGTTTAAAGTCTTTGCCTATCGGGATTGGCAGAGATTGATGAAGCAAATGAAGATGCAGCCTGAGAAACGCTTTTCAAACTCAGAAAACTTGTTCACGACGAGTCCGGATGTGCCGTTGGATGACGTTCTGCTCAGGATGGAAAGAGTATGTAGTGCTCCGGCGCTGCTTACGAAGCACATTGACACTGCCAGCGCCTACCACACCACCGTTGACAGTATCCAATTGCAACCCCAGACCCATGTTGTTGCTGTTCTCATGCAGTGTAGCCATACACCTGTAAAGGTGAGAGTCTTTTTTCAAATGTCGAATATAAATGGCAGGGGAAGCGCCGAGTACATTTCTACCGAGAACGTATATTTGCTGTTCCTTACAGCCTACGTAGTATTATTTACTATTATGCTGTTCTTAATTATACCATGTGGATATTCGTGTAGGACACTTTCCGCCACGTCCTCCGTAGGCGGGGATGGGGAAAACAGGACTGCTGCCCGCAGAGGTTCTCCAAACGGGGGTATTTTTAACGGACGTGGTAATGTCCTTGCCACGGTGGGTGGCACGGACGGGGCTTCAATATATCGCCAGAGCGAAGATGATAGGTTGAACGCAGTAAATTTAGACAGGGCGTGGGAAACAGGGGCAGGGGTTGAAAATTCAACCTCAGCGGTTGCCCCTTCATCGTCTCCACGCAGATGTTCAAAGGGCTGTTGCAGGGCTTTTTGGAGTAAAGTAAGGCACGTGTTTAGGCAGTACTTGTTGATTTTGTATCCGCCATTGCAGTGGATTGTCCTTCTGTCTCTCATAATAAGAGGAACATTTTGCCTAATGAAGTTAATACGGTATCGTACCATTGTGGAGCACCCAGAGGAGCCTCAGGGTTGCCTTGGCATACTTGCCGTTTTGCTTGATGTAGGTTCCCGTACGACGGTGTTTGTGATGCAGCAGCTTGTATGTATAGGCTGGGGCTGTGCCTATCGGCGTCCCCCAACGATAAAGATTGTCACCGCCGCTTTGGCCTCCGTCATTACATTCTTTGCCTATGTATTTAATGGCACTTGTTCGAGCAACGGCTTACCGGCAATATATACCACATACGATGGAGACAGAGAATATACGAGTTTTCGTTGCATGACGATTCGGACTATTGTTCTGGCCTGTGAGTTGCTGGGTTGGACGTTAAATCTTTTTCAGCTTACAACTCTTATGGCAACCATTGGCCGTGCTGCAACGACGACAGGGCCATCGCGACGAGGACTCGGCCTTCTTGGGGAGAAAACCGCGCTCTATCTGCGCTATCGTAGCATGTGCGTGCCGTATGCGTTGGGCATGCTTTTACCGCAAGTACTTTTCGTTATCTTCTCCAACACCCTCATGGGCATAGACGACCACTACGTTGAGATTGCGCTCCGGGAGTTTTCGCAGTGGTACGCGCTGGCTTTTGTTCTGCTTTTCCTACGAAAGGAGCCCTTCTACCTCTGAGTGGAAAGAAATAGACATGAAAGGACGAATGAAAGAGAAAAGAGGAAAGAAAGGAAGAAAGAGAGCGGGCTAAATGCTGAGGGATAGCATATGGAAAGAAGAATGCCCGTACACATGACAGCGAGCATCACCTACTCCTTTTTTTTTGCTTGTCTTTGTTATTTATCCCTCTATGCCATGCGTGATTTGTTTTTTTTTGTTCCTCCTTCGTCATTTGAAGAGTTGCTTTACGGATTTCTTCCGGTATCTTCGTCTCGGTTACTTGCTTTCCCTCTCCCTGTGTGAGTGTGAGAAAGAGAAAGAGAAAGATAAACGAGGTGTTTGTTATCCAGTGATGCTTCAGTTTCCATGTCTTTCGGCCGTTGTGGACGGGCAACGACGTAGCCGAGATGCTCTCTCCCACTATGCTCCCACTGATGTAGCGCACGCCCAATAGCTCACAAAGACTATATACATATCTTTATACTAGCATAGACGCAGACGGCTGGCACCGGCGGCAGCGTGGAATAGACTTGGGTAGCCATCACTGATCCACGGATACCCTTACTGCGTGTTAAGAAATGCAGGTGGAGGTCCCAAACTACGGGGCGGCCGAGGTGCTTCGTGTTGCTTCTGCATGTAACTGCGAGCCAGACAAGGCCGTGCTTGAGGATGATGAGGTGCTCGTACACAACACCTACGCAGGCGTTAATTTTATTGACACCTACTTTCGCAATGGTCTTTACAAAAAGCCCCATCTGCCTTTTGTTCCAGGTGAAGAGGGCGCGGGAACTGTTGTGAAGAAGGGGGCAAAAGTGCTCTCTCCTGACGTTGGCCAACGTGTGGCCTACTATGGTAGCGTAACTGGCTCCTACGCAACTTATACCGTGGTAAAGGCTGCCAATACGGAGGTGCTGCCAGCTGGCGTCGCCGACAAGACAGGTGCGGCGGTGATGTGCCAAGGACTGACGGCGCACTACCTCACACACGACAGCTACCCCTGTGGACCTCAGTCACGAGTCCTCGTTCACGCCGCCGCAGGTGGTACAGGGTTGCTCGTGTGTCAAATGGCCAAACTCCGCGGTGCGTTTGTTGTTGGCGTCTGCGGTGGGAGCGAGAAGGCGGAACTGGCGCGCAGCGTAGGTGGCGCGGACCATGTTGTGGATTACTTAGCCTTCCCAGATTGGACAACGGAGGTGCGTAAGCTGTTGCCTGGTGGCTTTGACGCCGTCTACGATGGCGTGGGAAAGGCAACGTTTGAAGGAAGCCTTTCCGTGTTGCGCCCGCGTGGGTACATGATTTCTTTTGGTAACGCAAGTGGCGCCGTTGAGGCGGTGACGCCGCTCCGGCTTAAAGACGCTGGAAGCGTGTACCTGCAGCGGCCATTTCTCGGTGATTACATTCGTGACCCTGAGGAAAGGAAGAGACGCTTTTTGGATTTGTGGAATTGGCTCAGCTCCAACAGACTTCAGGTGAAATACAGTCAGGAGTTCCCCCTGGCGAAAGCTGCCGAGGCGCACCATTACCTGGAGAGCCGCATGTCCACTGGCAAGGTCCTTCTCTCTTGCAGCTCCACAGAAGGTCAATCGTCTCCACATTGACCGAGACAGCGATGTTCTCACTATGAACGCGACGGTGGCCACGCATGGGAAGGTCTATGGGTGATGTAGCGAAGCCCTCATTACTGTTATTATTACTAGGTGTGGTTGCGAGTGGTGCTTTGTAGGGAAATATGTTTGGGTTATGCTTTTGTGGGAGCAGGTGGGAACGCGCGACATGATTGAAAGGCCGCAAACGACCAAACAAGAGCAAGCGACGTTTGGGGGTTAGATGGAGGAAGTGATGCAACTGAAATCAAAGCCTGACGCAGGGAGACGTGCTTGCTATTCCATTTTTTTGGTGTTTGTTTTAATGTGTGCATACCAAATTCCTTTTTTTTTTGTTTCCTTCTCCCTTCCCTCCGCCGCGTCTTGGCGTGTCCTCTGGTTCCAGCGGGTGCTTGGGAGCCTCAGTTGAAAAACCACCACAACTGCAATAGCAATAGAGGGAGGGACTAACACAAATTTTGACAGGTGCAAAAAAAGAAAAAAAACACACACACACGCACACACACAAAGGGTGCAACCTCTACAGTCAGGCTTCCTCGGCGCGTGCGTCACCAGCCCGCTTGTCGCTGTGTAAGATTCCATGTTTTGCAAAAAAGCGAGGGTGGCAGACGAGGCGCCCGCATCTCCAGTCACAAAGAACATTGCGGATGGCTGGGTGCTTGTGACGAGTTTGGACAATCCCTGCTCCACTCCGAGTTGGAACGCGGACTCAGGCTCTGTGCCGCATACAAAGTTGCAAAGCCCAGCGAAGCAAGGAATCAGTGCGGGGGAGACAGGAACGGCAGTTAACGAGGCGGTAAAGCAAAGAGGTGGGCCCACACACATTATTTCCTTTTCCAACTTGAAGACACGCTGTCAAGAGTCCCGTAGCACCTCAAGTTTTGGTGACGATGAGCCTTCATTAAGTTGTGAGTGCTCGTTGCGTGACAGAACACGTTCAAGTGCCACTGCCGCAGAAGAAATACTTGGCCAACAGTTTGAAGATAGCGAATTGCTGCCAATTCCGCCCTCAGCGCGTTCCCCAGCTGCTGCTTCCAAGGGAGAATTATATCCACCAAAAAGTGACCCGGGCAACGACATCCATGATCAAGTACCGTCTGTTTGTTCTTTTTTAATCTATTTTTTAAGCAATAGCACGTACAGTTTTGTTCATTTCTGCGCTCCTATGCTACCGACGTCTTGGAGTGCTTTTTACAACACGATGTCCCTTGATAATGTCATTTATTGTTGTGTTTTTGCCGCAGCAGCTGTGGGGGTGGTGCAGCTTGGGCCTTCCATAATGCCGGGGGCATCTGACGAGAGTGGTCGTTGTTGCCTGCTGGGAGTGGCTTCCAGGACATCTCAGCTGGTGTGCGTATTCATGGTGGTCGTGGGACCGCTTCTGCGTCTTGGGGAGAAGCTGCTGGAGGAACTCTTCCCCTGCCCTGGGACGACGCCGTGCCCCGCGCCGGGGGAGGAGAGACGTGAAGAGACGGAAGAATGTAACAGGGAACAGAAGGAGGACGAGGCGCAGGTGCAAAAGGCGAAGTGCCTGACAGCCGTGAAAGTTTTTCTTTCCTCCCTACTGACGTTTATTCTCCTCACGAATGAGGGTGGAGGCAGCACTGCAAATAGGCAACCGCCTGCTGACGACGAAGACAGCAGAAGGGATGCGGCCAACGAACCCGCGGCACACCACGAAGGAGATAAAACGTCTGCATCAGCGGAGAGACGGATTCGCACAGGTGCGCTGCTGTTGATTGGCGTTGGCGGGGGTGCGATTTCCCAGTACGTGTTACTGCGCTGTTCCTGAAGGAGTGCGCGTGTTGCGGAGCGAGTAGCAGCGAAACTGATGGAAAAAAAAACAGAAAAAAAACGAGTTGAGATATTTGCTTATCTATCTGTGTATATATCTTCGGGATGTTATCCGGGAACAGGGGTGGGGAGGCTGTGCGTAAGACAAGGTCACCCTAGTCGTGGAAGCTGCCAAGACACAGAAGGAACGAAAGGAAGATAGTGGAGGTGATGAGGGGGAGACGACGAGCCGGTGGCGCCTCTTATGCGTGTGGAGCGGGTTAGGAGGATATTTTTCTCTCTGAGTAGTGAGGTATGTGCGGGGCGTCAGGACGAAAGCGAAGGGAGGTAACATTAACTACGGGGAAGAATAAATCATCGTCAAGGAAAAAGAGTTAGAGGTGCTTGCACACATCTATATATATGTGTGTAGTGGTTGATGCCACCTACATACTTCAAATTTCTTTTGGCTTTACTCCTTGTTGGTGCATCCAAAACCAGCCGCAACTCCCGTTACGAAACATGGGCATGTATATATCAATGTCTCTCTGCTTTCCCCGATTTGCATCTATGGGGGGAAGTAAAATATAAGTCTTTTTTTTTTGTCTTTTTTTTTTGTCGCTTATGTGTCTTTGGCTGTTCCTGTGCGGAGGAGGCCTAGTTTTTAGTCGTGAGTTGTGAGTT